CTTCTCCCTTCGTCACTGCGCCTCCCCCTCACCCCCGCCCCCTCCTCCCTCTCCCGCCCTTTTGCTCTCCTCGATGGACACTAAATTGACACTCGCAAGGTTCCTAGGAGAGGGGGTTTCGAACAGACTTTTGTACAGTAAAACAGCTGTCACCTAAGCCCCCGGGGAGGGAACGGTGGGTCTCACACTCCTCCCATCCCCACCCGCTGGATCCCCCAATGTTTTCCAGGAAAAAAGGAAGTTTGCGGTGAGGACAGCAAGGATGAAGGTAGGATTACAATCAGCTAGCTATTATGTCTATCAGCTGTAAAATTCACTTTTTTCGAGATTGCACATATAAAATTTTGCTGATTCGCAGGTTCTGGCAAACAGAAATTGGTGATTTGCTTCTTGCGATTGAAATACTGTGTTCTGCTACATTACTTCCGGCGGAAACGCACGATCTTATGGCTAGGTTTCACACACCACTATGAGCAATATCCAATCATACACATTCACTGGTTCGAATCCTATTAATAATGAATTAACGATTCCTATCACTGGTCTTTTATGTACAATGCTAATACAGTGCACTAGGCATCGCTAACATAATCTGGAGCGATTTTCAAAAGAGATCATTGAAAATGCTTGCTACTAGTGAATTTATTGCACTGAGTTGGCAGAAATAACAACTAAGCGCTCTTGAAAGTCACAAGGCGCGATTTTTAAAGATTTTTCCAGACAGTGTTACTTGAGTCCGATATTAGTGTTGTACTCGATCCCAAACAGCTTCAGCTTGTAGAAACGGTTGTAAAATGTAGCCCTTTGAAATTTTTTGTGGAAAAAAGTTTTGTAGAATTTTAAATTCAGCAGGGCTGTTGTGCTAGATTCTTGAAAATCCGAATTTAGGAAAAAACATGGAAGCTTATTTTCATTATGATATATTTTCGTGCAAAAACATTTCGCATTCTGCTTGCCATTTTTTTATCAGTTTCGTAGAACTGTCAAAAGTACAGGATGTACCGATGGCAGAAAAGATCAAAAGAAATTGGAATTTATTATAATACTTTGAATCAATGGGACCACTGCAGATAAAGAAAAGGCGGAAGTGTTATTTATCTCTTTACTGTTGGGCTTTGAAAATATTCTTCTTCTTTCGCGGTAGAATGGAAAAACTGGGATAATCTGAGTTAAGTGAAGTCAAAAATAGAGAACAGCTGTTACTTATAAATACTAGATGATGTGGAATCGCAATGAACTGCAAGTTCCAATTCAAAAGAGGCAAAATATAAAATCATAAATTGATTAATTTGACACCAGAAATTTATTGAAAAAAGAATAAAAAATAAACAGTGGAAAAATTAGGTCGAGGGAGAGGGTTGAGCGGAATTGCGGTCAAAAGACGCCATGTTGATGGTTGGGCGATGCCGGACCCGAAATACGACTTTCCTGCCGGATCCTGGCACGCCAGTGATATCATTTACAGTATTATCAGATCCCTCATTCCTCACGAGCAGCCTTGGATGTTGGTCTGGATGAATGGATACTTGTCCATATCTCATGCCAGCTTTATCAAAAAAAAGTCGATGAGGATCGCAAATCGATTAGAACTAATTGCACTTTCTGGCAAAAACAATTCTTGGAGTTTGAATTTTTCCGCAGCCCTAGTGAGGCTGAAATGCATTGCATCGGCTTAAACTGTTAAGTGATAGATTGCTGCAGATGCAGTAATTCGCTGATTCCTTTAGTCTTGTTCTAGTGGATGTGTGCTGCTCTAACTTTAGTCTTGTTCTAGTGGATGTGTGCTGCTCTAACCTGATCCAAGATCTGATTATCAAATGTGTGCAAATTAACCAGTGAAGTAAACTAACCCTGTAGTATTTTGCATCGGTCACAACAGTTTGCTGTCTTGACGTAGCCTTTGACAATACGATGGGTTGCTGCTTATGGAAAACGGATGTCGGCTAACAACTGGGATGAAAGTGCTGCCTCAATCTCCACCATGCACGATTACCGTGAAGAGAGTTTGCCGACGATTTTATAATCTCTAATTTGCGGTGTATGCACACGAAACTTAGGCGTTTATGAGAAACGATACTGCGCTTTTAGTTCCGCACAAACTTTGCAAGCATTCCTTTAAAATACGTGCGTTCTCGCTTATTTGACTATTGAGGAAGGATGATGAAAGCGTTGCAGTTTGAACATTTGAGAAATCCGAGAACGAGACACATGAGTAAAAAGAAACTCATTTTGCGCTAACAAGTCCAAATATGAATAATCAGCATTCTCATAAAAATGCTGCTTCTTACTCGTTCTGACTAAAGATTTAATTCGGCATCAGTATGATTTTGAAACTTGCTTTCGCTTAACGTGAGAAAATTTCCTGGAATTTTCTCAAGTCAAGCAAAAGTAAGTTCCAAAAGTAACTTAAGCGAAAGTAAGGCACCAGTATAATTTCCTGAAATTTTTCAGGAAAATTACTTTCCTGAAAAATTAGAGCACTCTGTCGGCTTAGTCTTTGAGTTTATATGTTGCTATCGATATCTTAAAAACGAATTTGATGCGTCCGTATGCTTGCTTGCCATTAAATCTTAATTGGGTAGTTTTAGCTCGTACAAGAACACAGAATTTTCTTGTGAAATTTCATCCTCCTGTCTTGTTTTATTCAGTATTTCAGCACTAGAACACATTTTCTGCAGCGATTTTATCGTTTATACGCATTTTTACGTATTTTTGCAAGAAATACATATTTTTGTCCAAAATTTATCCCTACTCCTACCGTAAAAATCTCCACAAAAAGCCTTTTCGTGGAGATGTTTAGGGCAGGCTTGGCTATTTATACTGGATCCGTTAGCAAGAAGCACTGGCATAGTGGTCGCATCATCTCTTCCGTATTTAAGCATTCATTTCGAAGTCGGCCAAGAGAAATCAGTCTTTTATAATTCGTTGATTTTTCAATTTTAAAACAAGTTATTACTTGCTCAGGCAAAAGCACTGATCTGAAATGCTCTTTTAAAAAGAAGGACAGAAAAAAATTCTGAATCGTTCAACCGAATAAGCTAGAAATCATTGGAATCTATTCGGGCCTTATTTCCTTCGGTGGCATTTTTTTTCGTGCTTGCCAGACGTAGTGGATTGAAACTTCATGGAGTTCAGACTTAATCAGCATTTTTCAAAAATAAAAATTGTTCTGTTTTGCAGCATTTTGCGAGATGTCGAAGCGAACACGGTACGTTTAAAAGAGCACGGGCAGGATGTACTGGTGTTGGAGAAGATGAATGCAACATATCAAACTGTCGGCGACCCGTACCGTGGCGCGGTTGCGGTTGCTGCAGGTGCTATGGCGCTAGCTGTTACTGGCGATTCAACTGCTGGCTTGAGAACGAGATGTTGGTAGGTTTTGCTCGATGCTTTTTTCAGGCATACTCAACAATCCTTTTTTCAGGCATAATAATTTCTGACTGAAACCTTTGTATCATTATTATTTTTTTGTTTTTTCCCATTTTTCTGCCTTTGAGCTTTTGTTGTGCCAACCCGGGGTTTGGGCTAAAAAAATATTTTGATTAATTTTTGCACCAAAGTACTTTGCTGCCGTTTTATCTGCTTTTCCACTCTTCCACTTTTTGATGCGTCCAAAATTTAGCCGATATTTGTTTGTCTTCAGAAATATTTATTTCGGATATACTTCCTAACCAAAAATGGGGATCAATTTAAAGCCGTAAACTCAATCTTCTTGTTTATTTAGAGAAAAAGAAAAATTGCTAATCGAAGATTTGTTTGATTGAAATCAGATTTGCTCTACTTCTGATTTTCCAAAATGAGAAACATGAGTAGTGAAAACTTTAATTTTTGAAATGATCGTGTTTATTAATTAAGTTTTCTCCAGCTACAAACTTTGTTAAGAGGGCGGATTTGAGTAACTGCATTCAGCGGTTGTAATGACTGCAAAGCTGCAACAATAGGAGTTTGAACAGTAAATAAACTTTTCCTCTGCAATACCAAACTTTTTACGACTCACTCATTAGTTTAAGTGGTAAATGAATATTGGCATATGTCAGGGGGTCAAATCCATAATCAACTTATTTCTAAACAACGTTTGAAAGGGTAAGCAGTCGGTTGGCTTTCCAGGGGGCAGTTGGAGTAATCCACGTGCCCTCACCCTAATCTACAGGTGGATAACAAGCATCCTTGTAAAATCATTATTTTCTACCCATTTTAATTCTCGAATTGACATTTTGCCAGCAGTACGATAAATTGGACCTTGACATGTCCATACTCAAATAATAAGCGTTAGTATGCACATGGGCAAGAAACACTCTCGTAAAATTCCAACTTTTTAGTTTGCCTTATTCCCGAAATCGTTCTCACACTAAGATATTTTCCACAAGTCATATGTCGGAATAAAGAAGACCCATTTACAGTGATAGTTAAGTCGTCAAAATTTCATCTTCTTAGCTTTTATAGATCTGCAAATCAAAATATGCGGACGTAAATACATACATATATGTATGTGTACATACACACATACATGTGTGTATACATACACATATACATACATGCATACATGAATGTATACATCCATACATACACATAATGTGCGTTTTTGCATCGCCGAGATGCAGAGAACGCATAAACTCTAAGGAAAGTGCTGTTTAAAGGTTTACAGCAATGTGTTTATAGCTACTCAGTAATGGCTGGAATGCCAGAAAAAATCGTGGAGTACCTGCTGGAAACACGAATTGAT